CGTAAAATTTAAACGTCTCAGGATTTTGAGAGGAATGAACATCTGTGAACAGTTGCCACGATTTCGACCAGGTTACGGATGTATTGAGTAAATCTGCCTGCAGTACTCGATTAACATCGTTGACGAAAGACTGTGCTGTTAGGGTCATTAAAGGCAGTCTCTGACTCGGTGGACTGTGATGTATGATGTGAGTATTAGTAGAACCAAAGCAGACATCCGATTTATCGGAATGTTTTATTCGCCAACAACAGGAAGGAACCATATTCTCTTACGAGCCAGATTCTCGATACGATTGGTAAACAATCGCATCAAAGCAACCGAAAACGGATACCCTTAATACAATGTAAGCGACGATGAACACTGGACGTTCACCAAAGTAGCTATTCGAATGTCAGTCAAAACAAAGGTGGTTTTCGGTGCACATATGAAGGGTCTCCTCCACTTCGACTGGCTTCCAGGACGCCGGAAAAATCATTCCTCCCGATACAAAACAGGACACAATGCGAAAATCCCTAAACTGCCAGTACATCAAGAATCTAACAAACTGTGAGAAGTCATGAGAAGAAAAATATATAAAGGTAAAAGGAATCCGGTCCGGATGAGTTGTCCCAATCGGCTTTCAAAGATGGAGGATCAGTCTAGGCGCCTCATATTCCGTCGCCTGTCTATTGCGTGTGAAGGATGCACCCTACCTGGTCAACTTTGCATGACACACATTTTTACCAAGGCGCACAGTGATTCACCATCAGTAACGCCGTCTTGATGGATGGGCTGAACATCTTGAGGCTCAGTTCAAGCGGCCCCCATCGACATCTGACCTATCACCTCCCACCTCGACTGGGTAAATACTTCCAGTAGATGCCATTCCTCCATCTGAAATAGAGGTTTCCCAGGAAATAAGTTGTTTCAAACGGAATAAGGCCTCCGGCCCTGATGGGTTGTTCCAATCGGCTTTTAAGTATGGAGGCTCAGCGTTAGTCTTGCAGGGCTCAATATGGGAAACGGAACAGGTTCCAAAAGAATGGTGTGAACCAGCTATTCTATCGGTTTACAAGAAAGGTGATAGATCCTCCAGTGAAAATCACAAAGGAATTAATTTAATCAATATCTAAACTCCTCGCCAACATCATACTTCGTCGATTGCCTGCCGCACGTGAACGGCGCATGCGTGAGAACCAGGCTGGTTTTAGACCCGGTCGAGGTTGTATCGACCACATCGTCACTCTTCGTCAAACCCTGGGGCAACGACATTCTTTTCATAGACCCACCATATCTTCCTCGACCTGAAAACCATTTTAGACTCTTGCGCGGCCTTTCCCTGAAGGGTGCGCCCGAGTTTATTTCAATGTTACGATCGCTTTATACTAATCGCCGAAGCCGAGCCCGAGCTTACGGTACTTTTTAGCCCGAGTTTACCACGGGAAGTGGTGTTCGTCGGAGTTGCCCTCTCTCTCCATTTCTATTTAACTTTGTTATAGATTTGATTACGGAAACAGCCTTGTTCTCGTGCGAGGATAGTGACATCTAGTTACTCAGAGGTGGTAAACTGTGTTACCTAGAGTACGCGGACGACATTGTGCTACTAAGTGAAGATCCAGGTAAGTTGTGAGCTTTGCTGGATAGCTTGAGCGCCAGTGTAGCCAAGTTCGGTATGCGTTGTGCACCTTCAAAGTGTAAAATGTTATTGTAAGACTGGGTTGGTCAAGCACCTAACCTCACTTTAACTGAGGAAGTAATAGAGCAAGTAGACAAGTTTTGTTATTTGGGAAGCTACATTCAAATGGGCAGCCAAAAGATAACAATCAAAACCAACACACGAAAAAATGGTTAATGGTTGAGGAAACTGAAACTGCCAAGGCGCGCGATATTTGACGAGAGAGATAGTCGGTGGAAAAAAAGTAAAACGGTGATGAAACAAAGACTTAGCATGAGACTTGATCAAACAGGTTGAGGTAGACATTCTGGATGAGGAAGACGGAATCGTTGTAATCGATGGTTGAACACACTGAGTGACATGGCTGGATGTTATAAACAATGGCGCGCTAGCTTGTTCTAGTTGATCTTGCAACCCCAGTCAACACTTATTCTTTATTTCACCTTCACACTGCTTTTGACATTCCAATCTTTCTTTTATCTCGTCAATCAAATGGGCAGGCAAAAGACTAACCAAAATCGACGCACGAAAGTGCATGGTTTATGGTTATCCAAACTGAACTGCACTCCGGATTTGAAGTTTCGCTGGTTAGGGTGGGTTTACGGAATGCTCAACTATCGTCTCCGAATCGTGCTGTATTTGCAGTTGCCGCTTAGGGATGGATAAAATGACGTGGAGATCAACAGAAGACATGTAAACCGGGTATCTATAAGGGGATTTAGTGAAACGTTTGTTTCGTTTTTCAGGTTGCGAGACAATGAAGTACGTGGCCGCGAAAGAACAGTAGTGCCACCCTTGTCAGGTCCGAACAGGTGTGTATAAACAATTAGTCTGGGTACTCTATGTACTGAAGTTAGAGATTCACTTCATCTTCCTTATCTCAAATATGTTCACTTCCTATCAACCTTACAATATCGCATGTGTATATTGTGAGCTCCACAGCGATGAAAGAAATCTGTTTACTCTATCTGGCTGTTGTATGACGCTATTTTAGAAGCACCGGTAGACCTGCTACAGCAGCGGAAAGAGTCAAGTTATACGACGAAAGCAATCTTTCGTTTGTCTCACGCAGACATTTTTAAACACATCAGTCAAAAAACGACGAAAGAGCAAGAATGCAATCATGCTATGGTTAATACCTCAAACCATAGTTCAAATCGCTTCGAGTTTAAAGCGCAGTATATGGTCTCTAAGTTATCGACCCGCCAATTCCTAAATCCACGTGTGTATAAGCATGAATGCGGACTTACAAAGCTTTGGACGAAGCGTGGGTTGGGTCACTGTCATTGGCGGACACGGGAGTCATGCGAAGATGAGGCAGAGCGGAAGAAAGAGAGGTCACAGACGAAAGCACCAAGGGATGATCAGTCAACAATCGAGGAGAACCGGGATCTATTTGATGAGAGGAATTGCGTGATGTTCGATCGGTCCGTGTGGATTGGCCAACGCTGGCCGATGGAAGTGGAACCAGCTCATTGGTTGAACAACGTAAATCTCGAAATGTCGAAGAACTGGTCCGAAGGGAGTGATTTGGAGGAGAATGGGACTGAGGTCGCAGCAAAGCGTCACTAGTGTCATCACAATCGGTTGCACCCCATCCCTCTTGCTCAGCTTTCACTTTATTCAGGGTACGTGAAAAATTGCTTCAAGGAAGAACCGGGGTTTTGTGGAGAGTACCATAAAGGAAATTGTGTCAAAATACAAACTGGATGGTAAAAACTAACATTTACAACGGAAGAACGAACAAGCGAAATGTAATTATAAGTGGCATCAAAAAATTGACTGTCCATGGAACTTGACAGTAGCTTTTATACAATACGATACTTTTGATGTCAATACCTTGATCATATGTTCGCCTAGTAGGGAACATAAGAGTAGCAGTAATACCGTAGTCAGAAGGAACTTCTAGCCGGCAAGGCAAGTCCTGAGAGAAAGGACCTCAATAACACGGGCACTGTATCGAGTGGGATAACAGCGGAACTGGCAAACGCCGAAACTGGGCGGTGATGGCAGAGTGCAAACCTCGGAACGTTTAATCATTATCAGCCAATGACTACGAGAAAAGGAAACACAAGTTCTAAAAGGATAGGCGTGATATTGAGCTGAGACACAGCAAAGCTAGTCAACATCAAAATAAAGTCATTTTATCACGTTCTGACCATAGTAATATCGAGTGCAATGAAACTTTATTATTATCATTATTATTATTATACCACTGCTGGACAAATCGTGGGACAATAATCCTTATAACAAAGAGTTTAAGTTTCAGTTAACGTTTGTACAACCAATAAACACGCATATTCGTGTGCTGCTTTTGGTTGCTGTCTTTTGGCTGCCCATTTGGATGAAGAATGGGAGAAGAAAGGAAAGCTGAAAGTGGAGTCGAAAGGAAAATGAAGAACTTCAGTGGTCTAAGGTTGCAAAGAAATTGAGGAGATGCACGAACGCCACTGTTTACGACACCCAGCCATATCGCTCAGTGTATCTAACCATCGGTTACGATCATTCCGAGGTCCCCAGCCAGGGAGCCTAACAGGACCCATGTGACCCAGTTTCCTGGTTAGGGTTTTCATACCCTCGCGCCAGGTCTTAGCTTGACCACACTTCACCTTTTTCCACCCACTACCAGCATCGGCAAACATCGCTCGCCATGGCAACCTAACTAGTGAGATGACTAACACATGCCCCAAACAACGTAATCATGGAGGTCGACCACTTGCTCCAGTGGGCGACCGTATTTACCCAAAACTCTGCGCCTAACCTCAGCATTGCTCATCCGGCTACCCCACCAGATTCGTGCAATGCTGCGTAGGCAGCGGTGTTCAGACACCGCCAGTCTATCTTTGTCCTGTTTTCTTAATGGCCAAGTTTCTGCACCGTATAGTAGAACTGGCCGGTCACCGCCACACTCAAGCTGCAAGCGTGATTTGTACGTCTCTCCTTAATAGGTTAGGGACCAATTTTTCGTCAAATCCTCCAGGTGAACCACTGATGGTTCATGGAGTCGGTGGTAGCTCTAAATGGTGCCTTTCGTCTTCTCACTTTGGTGGGAATACATTCGTGCACGTGAAAGCAATGAGAAGGGTGTCAAAACCCTGGCCAGGACCCTTAGACACATGTTGCGTTAGACTCCTACAGTTAGATACTAATTGATACGGTTGTCATAAAAAGCAATGCTGATGTATCTTCTCAATTCGTGCGTAAGCCTAAGTCTAACAGAATCTTCATCTCTTTGCGTCGCCGCACGAAGCGTACGAAAACTGAAAATGAAACTCATCTGAATCCCATACGAAAATGATGGTACCAACAGGCAATGGGGTGAATCGAACCAAACGATCCGCTAGTTTGAACTGATTTATATACAACAGGAATTAGTTATAATTCTCAATTGGTCACAAGCGAGTGGTGTTGGGTGTTTTAAGAAAGCGCAGACAAGTATCAACATTTTATATATTTAAGAACCTACGGCACAGGCTGAGTTGTATATTATGAGGACAAAAATTAACGGATAGTTCTGCTTCGTAACGTAGTCTGTGTATCGACGCGTTACTGAATAGTGCACTTCTAGGACCGGTCGAGTTGAAAACGGAGCGTAGTTTGTCAAAGCGCTGTCCTGGTAGAGACCAAGCAAAGATCAGCATATGACAAAGCCTGTGAAATTCTGTCGTGCCTTCGCTTTTATCGGATTATGTCCACAAATTCCGGAAGTTCGTTTATTCGCATTTTGTTAAATTTCACATCAAATTCTGTCCTACTGCTGTGGTCTATTTTGACATCCCAATTTTTATTGCGCGAAACGAAAATTTGTGTAATATGTCAATTCCGTAAACAACCGGTCTTGGCGTTTAACTAAGAAAGCTCAAGGTCGAGAAATTAAAAATTTTGCAAACTACCGCATTGTTCTCAGTGGGCGTAAATCAATTTTATATTACACATCTTGTGTGATGAACAACAGACGGAGAGGACCCCATAGTCACGAAGATCTGCTGTTCGGTGGTGGAAACCGGTAACCTAAGCATCGGGACATGGAGTGGCGAATCACGTTAGGCTACACTAGGTTAGACGTAGTATTGAACCGGACGACAGAAAAGCCACCTACCATCAAAGATGAATGGCGGTGGCGGGGCTCGAACCTGAGACCGTAGGATCCACTGCACCACTACCAATTACTAACAGTTCCAGCAGTGATCCGGAGTGGTACATCACATGAACCCCCAAAAAAGGCGGACAAGCTGTGGAGCCAGACGATAGCGTAGCTTTCTACCATCAAAACAGCGACGCCAGTACGAACAACCCGGTGAATAAGCGTTTGATGTTTGCTCAATTTCTTCAGTGTGGCTTTATGTTTTGTTCACCAGCTACTGACTTGAGAGAACCAACGAAAAATCCCAGTCACATTGTTTTTTCACAAACAACTTACAGATCACTATAAGAAAAATCAACAAACTTAACTCGACGTA